CAAAGACATATCAAATGAAGTCAGGACATTTGAATAATGTTTGCAAGTTTGTGTTTCTTACAATTTTATAAAATATTTCAATCACATTTGTAAGGCTTCATTTGGCTGTACAACAACTACTGTTACCAGTAGATGTCCCCAAAGAGTGTAATAACTGAAGCTTCAATCAACTTTTCACACAGTGGTTCAACAAGGTTCAGAGCTTCATAAAGCCTTGTTTTACCAGACTCAGTCTGAACTACTCACAGCAGAAAAACTGCAATTTGAAAGAGAACAAGAAGAAGAAAGAGCCTGCTCATCACTCATGCACACAGTCTGGTGCAATCAGCTGGTTCTTAAATACCAGTGAGCTGATGAAGACAATAAGCAGCAGGTGTGAGTTACCACTGTGCACTGTACAAGGATGAGGAACTTGACCTTGGAATTTTACCTTAATGCAACATATACTAACTAATATTAAACTTCATAATATTATACATTATAGCATTTACATAAAACCGTTTCCACGTAGAAATGGAAGTCCTTATGAAATTGGATCTTTTAAGCTACTTAATCTGTAATCAATTTGATATTTAGCTTTTCTTTCATGTCAAGTAAGTCACAATTACAGCTTTTCTGTAATAACTGTAATTATGGTTTTACCTCAGTTATTACTGAATCAATACAGTAATTTGGGGTTTGAGCTGCTAGTGCCAAGATGAATTATTAAAAATGACACTGAAGTAAAAAAAAGTGAAAAAGTTAAAATTTTGAAGTCTAAAATTATATTTTTAAAAACAAACAAAGAAAAAACTACCAGCAATATTTTATAAAAATATAAAAATATGATTCAATCCATTTTTACTTACCAAGCAAAAGATTACAACAACAGTCACCTCAAGCAGTTTTAGATATTGTGAGGTACAAAATACAAACCATACAAACTCCCACCAAAACTACTTGAATACACATTTCCCAGAATGCTTTTGAAGAAACGTTTAAAAAATCAACACACCCCAAACACAAAGTAAATAAATGCAAACCCTTTTGATCAATAATCAGAGAGGATTTTACTTCTTAGAACAGATGAAATTAAACATTTTATTATCAGCTTGTTTGGACCACTTATGTAGGCTTCCACTATTCATGGCTCCAGACATGTCACAGCCATCAGTCGTTCCGTCAGAGTCCCAGTTTTTATATTCAACTACCTCATCAGTGACCCAGAACCAGAAACCTAGAGTGCAGGTGTAGCGCAGTCCAAGCCATACATAGGTAGAGTTGGCCTGCTTGACTTTCTCCTGGATCCAGTACTGTTTATCGGAGTTAGTAATGGACACCAGGTCATTGTAGTTCTCTCTGCAGTAATACAAGGCCTCCTCCCAGGTCTTGTTTTCTTTGATCAGGATTAAATTATCTGTTAAAAATAAATAACTTCAATGAGTATTGGTATTAAAAAAGGAGACAGAGCAAGGAGTGCTATGGCTATTTTAAAGTCACTACTTTTTTTTATATTATGAAAAACAAAAAAATAAGTATAAAAAATACTTCATATTAATAGTATTTTTTAGCACTGTAAAAATATACTCATTGTAAAACTCACCATCATAACAGAAGAAGTGGTTTTTTTTGTCACATTCATCAGAGCTCCATTTTCCTGATCTGTTTAACAGAGTCATAGCACATGTCTTGTTGCTTTGTTCATCATTGAATAACTCCATATCCCAGTATCTGAAAGAGAAATCACTCCCATCGGACCACCTCCAGCTGTCTCTGAACAGACCCATCCACACACTCATGGGACGGCCATTGAACAGGGTCTTCATTTCTTCTCCATCTACCTGATCGAGTCCACTGGCCAAGTCAGTGTAATTATATCTGCAGTAGCTCTGAGCCTCTGTCCAGTTAATAAATGTTTCAATCAAATGCAATGTTTTCTTGTCTTTCTTCATTCCTGTGAAACCAACAGAAAAAACACGGTAACATCCTTCAATTATTTGTCTCCTGAAACTTTTTTCTGAAATGACAGTTATGTGATTACTTAATATCATGATACTATAATTACATAGTATTCACATCTCCTCACCATCATAGCAGATGAACCACATAGGATGGTCACATGAAACACCTGCCAGCTTTTTATCTCCATTATCGTATCTTTTCCTCCCACAGTTTCCAGGTCCAGGTTCAGTTCTTCCATTCTGATCCCAGCTGCTGTCATTTTGAATGTATTCCACTCCTGGCAGAGACCAATGCCACGTCCTGTTTCCACCTGTGTTGTTGTTCAGTCCAATCCAGGCTTCTCCTTGATTCTGTGTGGAGTTACGGAGTCTGCTCATGTCTGTCATGTCAAACACTTTGGCCAGGTCTGTATATTTCTCTCTGCAGTATCTCTGTGCTTCAGACCAGCTCTTGTTTTCTTCAATAAAGTGGTACTCATACAGGCAGCATGTAAAGAAGCAACACTGACCTAAAATACAGAAATATGATAAAATAAAAATCTGATTAGCAAATTAAACTTTTCAGGTTAAAACTGTCATATAAAAGAGAATGAGGGCAATGATTTGTCAAACATTTTGGCCGAATCATTTTAAATATCTTTGAGCTTCTTCACTAAAATGATACTTATACAGCTGACATGTCAACAAGAAACTGACCCCCAAAAACTGAAAGAAATGTGTTGATGCAAGAACCTATTTTAGATGATGGAGAAAAGATTTGCCAGATAAACATGAATCTATATTCAGTGAATACATTGGTAGAAATATTACAAATGTTTAATGAACCAACATTAATCTATGTTCATTTTAAATTTAAAACAGTACATCGGGTGAAACAATCCACTTACCCATCAGAATAAGCAGAAACAGACTCCACTGCATCTTTGATCTGACAGATGAAAGTGATATTTTATTGCTCAAGGAAACAAAGACTTGAACAGAACTTCTTCGATGCACACTTTATGTCAGGAAAGAAAAGATGGATCAATATATCATGGTAGGAAATATGAAATATATATGAAAAGAAGCCTGATAAGGAAAAATAGTGTGAACCATTATGAATCATGACATCACTGTTTCAGCTGCAGTTACTCAGACATCTAATCATTTTTAATCCAAACCTCTCAAACTGACAGTATTTTATTGACGAAACAAGTCTTTTTAGGTTCAACAACATTTAATATACACACGCTTTGGATGTTATCAGCCCCATGAATCAGGTGTTTATAACAATAGTAACCACTTTACTAGTAACTACCAGTTACTCAGGTACTTGCTACAGGTTATCAACTAAATGAAGATTATTACATAAAAAACATAAAGTTCTTATAATATATAATGTTAAGATGGATCCATCCTCTTAACCACTTATCTTGCTCTGACATGCAGGCCAGCCTGTAGATTATTACAGCTGTTTGTATGAGAGGCTGGTTATGTTTATTTCCAAGTATTTCTGATTACGCTACACTTTTATATAAAAAAGTCTCCATTTTCCAAACTTCAGTAATTTTAATAAATGTGTGTATTGATACAAATTAGGCTGAGTTTTTAACTCTACTTCTGCTTTTAGTTGTAAACAAATTCTGTGCTGTGAGTGGGAAACAAATATCATGCTCAGTGAAAAGGTGACTTTCATTGTGCAAATTATATAGATTTTATAAGTTCTGAATCAATCAGATAGAAGTTTGACAACCATAAACTCAAACTCATGAATACTGTGCTGTTTGAGCCACAGGGTTCATAAAGAGTGTCAGGAGTCCAAATGTTTTCATTAAACCAGATGAAATTGAGCTGATAAATAAAATAAATAATTAATAAACTCCGCAGCATCTTTTATATCAGACATATTTGAGCTGACATAGAGCCAGTTTGGTAACTCTTATGTGCTGCATGAACAGTGTATGTCAGGCTGAAATATGCAAACCACAATCAAAAGGATCAATGCAGAAACATATTCATACAAACTCCAAAACATGAATTTATTATAATACAAAGTGAACTGAAATACTTTAAACTCTCTCCACACATTACATTAAACAAGTCGCCCAGCGTAATGTAGAGGAATAAAGAAAGGAGGAGGACAGAGGGAAAGATGAATGAAGAGCTGCAGCTAAATGCTTGTAAATTAGTGCCCAATGCCAGGTCATTCAAAAACACAAGTTCATTTGCATTTAGTAATTTACTTGTATGTGCTTTATATTGTGTGTTATATTTCATTGACTGTGAAGTTTTTAATACTTACACATGATGGTTAAATATAAAGATAATCCTTTGAAAAGTTTTGTTTGGTTAAAGAAGTGCATGTTGTGGTTCAGCCTGATGTTGAGTTTTTGGGCTAATCACGAGTGAACCTTTACCCACAATCAGTCCCAAATTTTAGCTTTTGTAGTCTGGATAATTTTTATACTAGACGAGTGTAGTGGAAAAATTTCAGTGCTTGACTGTACTGAAAAGTTACTAATGTTAAATATTTTTCTTTTTATATTTGGTCGCAAAATATAAATTGATTAATTCAAATATTTGCATCATATAAAAAACTGAAAAACAGAAATACTGAGTAATGACATCATCTACATTCAACCTGTGCTTATGTACAAAGATAAAATAACAAAAAAAGTTAAACTTACATCTGGTTAGTTCTCTCCTTGATGTCTCTCCTCAGTGTGTTCATGAAAACTGCTGTCGAGTTAATGTTATGGGCTACACTAACACTGAGATCTTGTTTCCCAAAGGTCAACATTTGAATATTAAAATATTTCACTAGAAGGATCCAGTGTGTATATCAGATATGAAACGGGGATGTAATGCTGTTGAAAACATAAATATAACACTGCACTGTTGACTGTCGAACAAGCAAGAGCAGGAAGTAGAAAGAAAATGTAAATATATCTTTTCCATTTATAGTTGATAATAAATGCAAATCGTTACAGCGAGACTAGAGTTGTACATAAAAATGCTTCAGGTTTACCTCATCATACAACTGCCAGTGACTCTGTTATTATAGTTCTGTTTTGTATGATTAGTTTTATAAATTATTATTTCATTTTTACTTTTTGCTTTGAATTCAGTTTAATTTTAGTTTGTTTCCAGAGTCGATTTTCTTGTTTTGTATGGACGGCATGCAGAGGGAAAATGAGTGCATGTACTTTCACTGACTCGTCAGACAAGTTGTAATAATTTTTTTCCAAACAATACTAAACTTATTGATATTTTTTCTGCAACTGCGTTTTATTTTAGCATTCCTAATTGAATAAAATGTTTCACTATATTTGACTTATTTTTTTCAAAGTCCAGTTTTTATTTTTATTCTACTTAACTATATTATTTTTCATATCTAGGTTTAAATTTTACTCTTAGTTCAGTATAATAAGTTTGGTTCCATCAACCTTACAGTTAAACTTGTTTCAGAAAAGTTCCAAAAAGTCCTCTTAGGTTTTTATTCAGCTCTAACAAATGAGTATAAATCATAAACTACAAACTGTCTGAACACACACTGTTGGCTGTACAGCATCGACAATCTGTAGACGTCTTTTTACTTCTGTATAAAAAAGCCAGTAAAAAAAAAAAGGTGTATATAACAATAATCTAACTCTGGGTTTGACTCAGAGGTTGTTCCAGCTGTTTGTGTGAGAGGCTGGTTACATTTATTTCCACACATTTGTGATTATCCTACACTTTCATATGCATAAAAGGTCTTTGGATTCACAAGTTGAGTAATGTTAATAAATTTATGTATTAATGCAAATTAGGCTGAGTTTCTAACTCTACTTCTGCTTTTAGTTGTAAACACATTCTGTGCCGTGAGTTGGAAAACAAATATCATGCTCAGTGAAAAGGAGACTTTCATTGTGCATGTGGACTTTAACCCTTTAAGACCTACCATAGAACCAAGTCAGCCAGAGCATATATTATATTTTTACATGCTGTAGTGCCATTTTTGGGAGCATTTCAAGTTGATATACATCAATACAACCAATATAGCCCAAATTTTAATAATATGTCTGTATTATTTGCATAGTAATTACATAAATTGCAAAAAAGTGCAATAAACTACAAAAAAATTTAAAATCGTTTTTGTTTTTTTAACATATATTTCTAGTTAGAGAAATTTAAGAGGCTTATACCGCAAAACTGTAAATACAAAAAAGTTGCACAAAATAGTTTCCCACCACAGGAAATTTATTTTGAGTGTCTTCATAGTTTTATTTTTGAAATACACCAATTTTTATATACTGCAGGAAAAACGAAAATAAATATTATAATGCAAATTTGCAAAAAAACCAGCATATTTTATTATTATTTTTATTATTATTATTATTATTATTATTATTATTATTATTATTATTATTCGTTAGGTCCCTTATTCCACTCGGCCCCCATGCTCTAGCTCTGATTTCCTTTTTTGCCACGTTCATGTCTTTGTCTACCTAGCTCATGTTATTATTCATAGTGTTATTCTCAGGTCCTTGTATATAGTCTTTTTCTTAGTCCCAGCACCTAGGTCACACACTTGTATACAGCCCCTCATTCATGTTCATAGTTTTTGTGCACACAGCTGTTGGGACATTTGAGGCAGTGGGCTGTGTAGATGCGAGAGGAGGAACACTCGTCATTGTGTTACTCCCGGTGGGGAGGATGTCCAGACAGACTAAAGCTGAATAACAACCCACAATGAAATAGATCAACAAAGAAATATTTATTTAGAGCATAAAGAGAAAAGAAAATGGAAATACGTCTTTCCTATTTATCATTTTTACTGAATGCAACACTCAGCACTTAGACGAAAGTTGTACACGAAAATGCTTCAAGTTAACTTCACCACCTGATCTTGTGTGATGACGTAATGAACCCTGCTTCCGGGCCCAAACTACCCTGCTTTTAATTAGGCTGTTGTGTTTTTAACATGTTTTAATGCTTTGTATCTTATTCTATTTAATCTCAACGAGCCCCTAAAACAGTCAGTGATCACTGTCAGTCTCTCTCGGTTTTTATTACCACTAATCATTTTAAAACTTAGTTTTTAAAACCTTACAATGTAACTACAGCCCAGCCCATGCAGCAGTATGTTAATGACTAACCTGGTATTGCGGACAAACTATCTGAGTTGTTCTCCTGGCTGAGGTTTGGTCCTAACCATCAGGAACCCTCACGTTAACTTTTATTGAGTGGAAAAAAGTTAGCGTTCATCCTCCAGCTTCACTGTGTTTATATCATGCTAACATAGCTGTGTTGCTAGCCATCATGTAGCACATCATTATATACCAGCTAGCCCAACTTCAGTAACTTCAGTGGCGTTCAGAAACGTCACTGCTGTTTTCTGTCTTCATTATGTCAGAAGTGATAGCAGAGCTGTTCGTTTTAGTTTTTTTCAGAAACCCCACAGTCAGAACTTGGTATATCATGTTTAGCTGGAAACTAGCGAGCTAACTTGCCACCAACTTCTAACTCTGTTAAACTGAATAAATTCTATTTTCATGGATGCCTGGATGTTAAACTTAATTGTTACACCTGGTAAAGCAGCAACGCTGATCCTTTTATTACAGATGAACAAATTTACACCGTTTCAACTCTCAGTAATGCTGCAGTGATCTTTTGACTTAGGGACCTGCAGCCAAGTTCGTGCCCAGACATGGCTAGTGACATCAGACTTAAAGAGCGGATACAATGTTCAGTGACAATGTTAGACTTATTTGCTGGGACATGAGAACACAAGGGAGGTAAGAACAATAAATACTAAACATGCATGAACTCAGATCTAAAAACGAAACACACAAAACAACCTCTCTCTTAGAGCACAGAACTCACAGATTCATGTGATGTCAAGGAAAGAAGAATACACTAACACAAAATGATAAAAAATAAGAAGACCCAAACTCATGAAA